AAAAGGTCATTTTGAAGGGCAGAGTTGTAGGCAAATCTGTTGGAGTCGTGACTGCGGCGAGAAGGGAGGGAACTCCCTCCTGCTGCATCACTGCCTCCCCCCTCCACCCCCCTCCCGCATCATCATCAGCACCACCACACCAGCATCCTCAGCTAGCACCACCTCTGTAGCCACTGGGAACCCTGAATCGGGACTTATACAGTGGTTCTGGTTCGAAGGGTCTGTGGGAATGGGCAGAATGAGTCAGGGAAATAAGCTCTTGGCTGACATTTTGAAATAGAAGAGGCTGGAATCTACTATATATATATATATATAATGTATGTAGCAAGAAAAAAATACAGCCCATCATGTCTTTTCTTGACAGAAAATAAAGGGTTAATAATGCATCACACTTCAAGGTTAGTCAAGGTGAGGCCTTATTCATAGGCAAGCCAGGGCCTCCCTGAGCCTCTGAAAATGTGCGTCTTGAAGGCAATGGCTTTTAGGTTGTTTTTTTGTTGTTGTTTTCATTTAGTTTTTTCCTAATTGGGGTGGGGTGGCGGCGTGGGGTGGAGTGGGCAACAATGGGATTATTGCCATAGTTTCTCAGATAAAAAAGTAATTCCCTGTATTTTCTCGATGTGGAGGGGGAAAGCCATAAAGCAAGAACGTATTAAGAACAGCTCTTGGTCACAGGGCCATCTCCTAGCAACTCCTTGTAACTTGAGTGAGGCCTGGGAGGTGCATTGCAGATCAGGCACCCATCTCCCATGGTCTGCTGGACCTGCCTTCCCCAGTGGTCTGACCCCGGCAGGGCCACAGAGGGCATGGGCTGCATTTACTCCACACCCCTTGTAAATTTGCCGTTCCTAGTGTTTTTCTCATGAAAATGTCTTTCCTCATTGCAATTCTGTGCTGCTTCTTGGAATAATATTTACCTTAAGAGGGTAGGGCAGTGTAGAACGACCTGTACTTAGGCTGCCACTTCATGAAGCAGGCCTCCATCTACGAGAGGATCGATTCATACTTATGTCTTGATGATACCATATCCAGCAAGGAGGGTGTCAGTACAGTGACTTAATGAATTTAGACACCAGGCAGGCCTGGTGTGTACTTTAGCTGAGCTAAAAATCCGGTTCTTGTTTTTGCACCAATCTGTCTGTCCCCTCTGGCAATGCAAGACATGCCAGAGGGAGCTGTAACAATCGCCACCTCATTTGGAGAAAAGACACCTTTTCCAGCAGCGGGCCCAATGTGGATGCCCTTGGGACCAGGGCAGGATGCCCTTGGCTCGGTTGTTCTAGGTAGATTTTCACCAAGATGGACGCAGGAGATCGCCTGTCACTTGCTTGAGAAATCACAGCATACAAATCACTTTAGGTTAATATGTAGTGCGTTTTTTAATGTTTACAACTAGGCCCGATGCTCTTTTTTTCTACCTGCCCATGACCCTTTGAAGGACACTCATCCCCACCCAATTCCTTCCCCTCCCCTCCCCCAAACTTCTCTGCCACTTGTATTAAAAGAAAGGAAGACATTTCTTAACAAGGAAAAATCATCCCAAGGTGACCCCCCTGTGGTGCCAACCACTGCTTGAGCCTGAGGTGCAGGGAGCCCCTCCCAGCCCAGGGTGCACCTCTCCAACCAGGTGACCTCACACAAGTTACTGGGCAGAGTCTGCTTAGAAAGAGCTCTGAGCGAAAGAGGCCCTGGGTTTGAGGCTAAGTCTTGAACTGCCCGCACCAGGACCAGCTTCTTGTTGCAGTGCATTCAAGTGTTAGAGCCGGGGCCTTGCTCGTGTGCCCCCTTGGGTGGCCAAAAGTCGGCTGTGGTAACGAAGACGTACATGCTGCCTTGGTAGAAGAGGTGAATTGGTTAAGCTCAGAGCACTGAACAGGGGACGGCAAGAAGGTGGAAGGGAACTAGAATCAAGGCTCCCATAGGCCTCTTGCTGACTGTCTTACAGCGACCTCTTGGGAGCATTGGGAGCTGTTCACTGGGGTTGGGGGATGGGGGGATTCCAAATCTCTTGACACCACTGGCTGCTTGGATACAGAATGCAGCACGAGGGTTAACCCTTGTGCTGCTTGGGAGGGAGCGATTGAATTGGGCAGCTATGGCTCAGGATTCTAGCCCTACCTTTTCATGCGTCCAGCTCCTGACCTAACCTTTTGTCTTTTTCCTTTCTTTGATAGAGAAAAAAGGATATGACTAAGCATTTTGGTGTAGTCCTATGTGTTTTATTTCCCATTAAGAGCCCCAGACTCTTTGTTGCCTAATCAAAGTTCGCTTTTTAAACCTGTGGAGAGGGCACTATGACTAAGCCCCACCATTGTGTACCACCTGTCCCTGACTCCATACACACACTTTCCTGCCACAGACACTCCTGGCTTCCCCCCAGGCCTCCAGGAGTGAATGCAGCCGATCTGGGGCGTGTTCGGAGTACCCTGGGCCCCCTCGGCCCACCTCTGCGTGCTCGGAGAGGGCCGAGTTGTTTGGCTGGCACCGGCCTGCTCCCCGATGCCTAGTACAGCCTGTTACTATGCGGCTAATCGGGGAGATAATCCTTGTAAACCAGTAACTGATAGCCTCGTTCCAGTCTGTGTGCTTCATGATTTTGTTGTGGTTTCTACCCCCCACCCTGCCTTTGCCGCTCTCTAAGCTGCCTCCATCTTGCTAACTAGCTACGGGGGAAAAGAAACGAGCTCGTAGAGCGTCATTGTGCTGCAGTTCCATGCTCAGACGACGAGGTGAAAATGGGCTTGCCACTTCTACTCTAGAATTTCCATTGCCCTCATTTGGTCCCCTCAGGGGAAAAGCAGTGCTTAGTCAGCAGTAGTCAGCAGCCCACATGACTGGTGGGGCGACTGTACGGAGCAGGTCGGTCTTGGTGGCCCTCGGTGGCACAGACCGGCATGTGAGCGTTTGGAGCCCCACCAGAGCCTGGGTTGTAGTAGTGAAATGTCAAGGGAGAAGCAAGCAAGGAACACGTTCCTCTCTGAGGGAGTGTGTCATCACATTTGAAGTGCATTGCATAAGCACGCAAAAACAGAGCTCTGGATGTCGTGAACAAGTTCTGTCAATATGTTTGTTTTCTTCATTTAGGGAATGAAATATATTTGCTCTAAAGACTCCTAGTTGTAGGTGAATATTTTTCTAAGCTCTTAATTCTCCCACTGCCCCCCCCATCCCCCCACCCCCCGCCGTACACACACACACACACACACACACACTCCTCTCACCACCACACATGGACACCTGCAGCAGAGGGTGATTCTCCCTCAGCCTCCACCTGTGCCCGTCAGGCCCATGGTGGAAAAGGAACAAGCTCTGGGACAAGCAGCGTGGCAGGGGCCAGGAACAGAGCCCCTTCTGCACTGAGCCCAGAGCCCAGAGTGCATCACAGCCCTTGTGTTTCTGTCCTCCCTGCAGTTAAGATCCTTCTCTTCTACGTCATATTCTACGGCTGCTTGGCTGGCATCTTCATCGGAACCATCCAGGTGCTGCTGCTCACCATCAGTGAATTTAAGCCCACCTACCAGGACCGAGTGGCCCCACCAGGTAAAATGAGCTGGAGGTAAAATGGGCATTTCCTTCTCGGTGGAGGGAGAAAAATAGAAAACTGTAGACCGAAATGAATGCTGGCGAGAGGAAGCAGGAACTAACTCCTCCCTGCTGCATCGGCATCCCCGACCCGCATTGCAGGCAGAGCTCCCAGGGCCGCAGACGCCTTCTTTGCACAGCTCAGGAAGGAGGGCCATGGGCCCTGGTCCTCGGCTCAGCCTGCCAGTCACGGCTGAGTGGCCATGAGCCAATGCTCCAAGGAAGAGGGTAGGCAGGTGGGGGTTGGTAGGTAGGATCGGTTGGATCATGGCTGGGCTTTTCACGCTTTAATATGCATTTTCCCCACATTTTTAAAAGAAATATAACCCAGATAAATCCTTGTTTAAAAAAAAAGCACCATGACTCTTCTTTTAAAAGACTGATTTATCTTTAGAGAAACTGAACTGGCCAACTGCGTATAGGGAAAGGAGCTGAGGTTCAGGGACCTGTCCCCTCCCACTGGTGACTGGATTTTTCAGTTTGACCTTGAACAAAGTCACAGTGTTCTCAATATGCATACCTGTTTGTTTAATCGGAGTCTTGTTTTGTCTGCTTTATCGGTACCCGTTTAGCAGTTGAATGAACTGTCTTACTTCAGCTTTATAAAATTGGCTGAAGAAAAAGGTTGTGGGATATTGCAAAATGCCACTTGAGTCCCCTGCTGTGATTTTTTGGGGGTGGGGGGGTTGGGTGGCGAGGCCTGCACTGCACCTGTGCATGTCCACACTGATCACTAACCCCAGGGGAGGCCCGGTGCCCACAGGCCTCTTTCCCATTGCCCGAGGAAAAGCCGGGGTAGCTCTTCTAAACTTCAATGCCTGGAGGACCTAGAGAAAGAGGAAGTGTTGTATAACTTCTGGGTTCTCACATTACAGGTGACCTTGAGACTTCTGTTGGGAACATGGCAGTGACTTGTTCCCTCTCCATTTTCCCTGAGCAACATTTTAGTAAACAGCTGTATTTAGGGGACACGCTTGAGGCCTTCCACACGGGCCTGAGCAGCCTGGGTGCAGTACCCCACTGCTGCCTGTCACTGTCACGTCATGCCTGTTTCTCTCTTTTGTGGGAAAGACTTGCAGTTGACAAAACTGTTTGAAATACGGAGGTAGCAGATTTCATCTTAGCCCCAAGTCAAATAAAGCTCTACTGTAAGGGGCAAGCCCAGAATGTTTCTCAATAGTTACATTTTGGTCCATGGCATTTTGGAAGTGGGAAAACAAAAAGCGTAAGTATGTAAAATGGCAAACCTGCTTGATCAAAAATCTACCCTTGCCAGCATTTGTTTCCCAAGAGAGAAGTGGGTCTGTGGCAAGGTTGAAATGCATCCCATGTGCTCAAAGAACCCAGGCTTTAGTGGTTGTAAAGCGTAGCTTGTCTTCTCACACCCTCCTCTGTTTCAGTTTTTATGGTGGCATGTCCGTGCCATCCGTCAGTGCTGACTCACAGTGGCCCGCTGTGGGTTTCTAAGACTGTTTAAGAAATTAGAAAGTCCAGTTTTCTCCAGAGGAGCTTTGAGCAGTTTCGAACTAATGGTCATGTGGATTGTAGCTCAGTGGGCACACCACCACCAGGGCTCCTGATGGTAGCATTAGTAAGTGATAATTTAACCATGGCTAGTCTTCTCCTCCTCCCCCCTCGACCCTAATACAAGCTAGTCTTCGAGTACAATGCTATTGTACACCAGAAGCCCTAAATCACACAAAATGAAACATTTCTTGTAATGTCTCAGATCATAAAAAGGAAACTCATGACTATATGAACTCTGTAGATTCCCATCTTTGTTGAAACGAACCGTTTTCTTTGAAAAAAGAAATAGTCAACATGCTGGGTCCTTTATAGATAAGGATTTAGCAATGCTCTTGCGTGGGCACTTGATTGGCTGAGGTGCCCAGTCCCGTCCAGCACTTTTCCCTCACACCCTCCCCTTTTCCAGTGTCTTCCTAAGAGACAAGTTCTTTGTCCCTATATTTAGGGTCCATGCAGCAGTTGGACTGGCCTGACAAATACTCACTTCTCCAGAGGAATGCTGGTGGCTCATCTTGGAAATATGCACCCCTGTCCTTGAGAGCCTGAGTCACCGGAAAAGTGCTTCCCTCCCCCTTCTGCATCTGTTGCCCCATGCCCTTTATAATTCCTCCTTTGCTTACACCCTCACCCACCTGCCCTGCCTGGGATGCTTTGTGCCTTTCCTAAGAGGCAGTGCATTCATTTACACAGAAGAACATGGGGGCTGAGGAGTGTTGCCTCATTGGATCACCCTTAAAGATCTGAAAAACAAATAACAAGCAGCCAAAAGAACCAGTGCTGTCCAATCTGTTCCGACTCATGGTCACCCAAGTGTATCAGAGGCTCCATGGGACATCCGTGGTTGATTTTTTAAACCTCCCACCATTTAGCTAGCAGCCTCTGAAGACACCCCCTAATTGGACCCTGTTCTCTGCATCTTCCAGAATAAATCTGAAAAATGTGTATGCTTGGGTAGGCAGTAATGACTGTTCTTTCAGTATCTATGCTTAATACATGTGTGGGAGAACACCTTAGTGAGCTTTTGATATAATATCTTGAAGCCTGATTTCCAGGGCTGGGAAAGGGAGAAAATCATAGCATGCGTGGAAGACTTTATATCACATCATTTATAGATCACAGCTACAATTCTTCCTCATAGGGACCTTACAGGACAGAGAACTGGCCCCTAGAGTGTCCAGTGCCCTAAATGTTCAGGGAAGCAGCCTGCAACATCCTTTCCCATGGAACGGCTGGTGGGTTTGAACCACTGGCCTTTTAGTTAGCTGGGAAGTGTTTCACTATTGAGCTACCAGGACTCCTGTGAAGATGTCACACAGAAGGGCTTATTAGTGCTAATTCGAGGCTAATTCGAGGCATCGATACAAATCTGGCCTGACTGGGTTTTGACTGCCCTTTACACACTGGGCCACTTTGTAATTAGATCTCCTCTAAACAACATGTGTGAATGTGGCCAAATTAAGCAGTGGCACTTGTGCGGTGCATTTGAGTCTCTAAATCTAGAATATTAGATTCCCTGATAGGCCAAACGGGAAAGTCCCAGAGGAAGGGCTGAGCTACAAAATGGAAGGGAAATTTAAAGACACATGGATAAATGTGTACCGTTCTTGGCCTTGAGCAACGGTGGCTGTAGGTGCGAATGATACTCCTGACCAAGGGTTGTTGCCATGGCAGCGGAATCTGCCAGCTCTGCCTGGGAAATGGGCTGCAGCCTCGGCTGAGATACCAAGTTGAGTCACATATTAAATTGATATTTTCATAGGTCATTTTATAGGCTGATAATTGGCTACTTCATATTGCCTAGCATAAATATCAAAATAGCCCCAAAGTTCCTAAATACCCAATATAGACTTACAGTAAAATTTCACTGGAGAAGGACATTTGGGAGCGTCTTCCCCACCCAGCCTCCCTAAACCTCAGTGTTCTCATCCACAAAGCGGGAGCAATACTGTGAGTGTTCATTGAGGCCATAAAGATATGAGGATGGCTTAAAAGAATTGCGAAAGAATGGAAATTATGAGAGAGTGAGATTTTCCCTGGGCTTTTTTGAAAGCCACTCTACAGTAAGTAGATGCAGGCATACCCCATTCCACTGCACTTCACAGGCCTGCAGTTTTCACAAGTGCAGGTTGTGGCAACACTGCATTCAGTCTGTCAGTGCCGTTTCCCCCAATAGCACATGCCCATTTTGTGTCTCTGGGTCCCCTTTTGTTAATTTTCAGAATGAATATTTCAGGTGTTTGTATAATGCCGTTTCACCTAATAGAGGAACCGCCACTGTCACAGAGTCGGGTCTGCCTCTGCGGACCAGTAGGACAGAGAAGCCCCGCTGCCCGGGCTTTCCCAAGCCGCAAATCTGCAGAATCCGACGTCTTCGTGTTTTCTCCCCATGGGTGGGTTCTAAGCACTCGTCTTTTGGTTAGTAGCACAGTGCTTACCTCGCCCTGCCACCAGGGATCCCTAAACCACCCCCAACATTCAGGTGACTCACTTAATCACGGTGGCCTGGAACTGCAGCCACAATATCTCTGAGGAATACCTGTACTACTTGGTTAGGAACTAAACTCACAGCACTAACTAAATAAGCGTTTCAGCAATTGACAGCTGCAGCCTAGTGATTTGATCATGCCTCAGGCTGTTAACCTCAGGCTCAGCCGTTGGAAACTATGGCAGTTCTGAGGGAGAAGAAAGATGGGACTTTCTAGGTTCTACCCTGTCCTGTAGGGTCTCTGCGTCAGAGTCGACTCCGTGGCAGCCAGTAATAGGAAGAACACTCTACTTCTTTGCCCACTGAATTAATCACTTGTAGGCTCTGAGCTGTGACTGGTGTGGGCAGCTGTTTTACACCCCTGAGTTTTCATGGAGCTGATTAGGAGAAGTTAGGCTAGGGTAGGAAAGTCTTAAAAAAAAAAATTCCAGGGACAACAGATTGGCTTGCAATCTCTCCCTTTAAAATCCTGTCGCATTAGCAACTGCCAAGCTGTTTGCCATTAGAGGAGACTGCTGGTGAGGTTCTAGGGTGGTCATCAGACCTGGAGGGAGACACGGAGGCTGAGGAGACCTGCGCACGTGCACCTTCCACCGATGCGCACTCTCACGCTCACCAGGCCCTGTCCCTACTGTGACTCTTGTCCCTTGACCTGTGGTCTCACAGGGAAATCTACGCTTCCTCTAACACACTGCTGCCTCCCTAACCCCATAGCTCCTTGAACAAGGAGGAAGGTCGGTGTGTGTCAGTCAGTGAGCACAGGGTCAGTTCCCAGGGTTGTGGGTGGCTTTCCGCTTTGCTCTGTCGTGAAGGCGACTTGGTGCTGTCAGAACTCATTCTAAAAGAGCCCTCTTGGCACCGTGCCTGCTGTAACCAGAATCGGGTAGGGGAAGAGCAGCCAACCACACTGGCACCACCAGCAGTCTGTTTCATCTTGATTGTGAAA